CATTGATTGACTTGACAACAGATGTAGAAAATATACATGAAGTCCTTACTGATAACCTAATAGTTGGTATTTCCAAAGGTAATCACTATGTATACCTGTTTTTTTTCTGTTACAAATAAAATATCATATTTTATAAACTTAAAATTTTAAATAGTTTACTTATACCCTTTTTTTTTTTACAGAATATTTGGATCATGGTGATCAAATTGTTGTATGTAAAACATGTCATGCAAAGTTATGGAAAAATGAATCTATTAGAGGAAAACAAAAAGGGAACACAAATTATTCATTATGTTGTGGTTATGGCAAGGTTCAACTACCAGATTTAAAGAAACCACCACCAAATTATGAAAAAATGTTTCGACTAACAGATTCTAAAAGCAAAAACTTCATGAAAAACATTCGACGTTACAATTCAATGTTTTCTTTTACGTCGATGGGTGGTAAAATAGATTCTTCAATCAATAAAGGAAATGCTCCATACATTTTCAGACTTGGTGGCCAAAATTATCATAGTATTGGAAGCCTTTTACCACCAAATGGATCGCAACCGAAATTCTCTCAGTTATACATTTATGATACCGAGAACGAAAATTCAAATAGACAAAAATGCTTTGGGTATATTTTCAAACTTCTTATTCATATTTAATTTTTATATTTTTATCTTTTTTTTACTAATATTATGTATATATTCAATTTTTTTAGTGGGGAAAAGCATCAATCTACATTCATTGATAATGATATTATTGAATATTTGAAGGTGATGTTAGATTCAAATAATGTCTTGGTTAGGTCTTATAGAATGGTAAGAGATGTTTTTCAGAAAAATCCTCAAGTTGATGTGAAGTTAAGAATTATTGGAAAAAGGGATCGAGATGGAAGGACATATAACCTACCAACTGCTTCTGAGGTTGCTGCTTTAATTGTAGGTGACATTTCTGATTCAGTTCAAAATAGAGATATTGTTGTTCAAACGAAATCCGGATTTCTACAACGTATCAGTGAATTGCATCCTTCTTATCTTCCTCTCCAATATCCGCTACTATTTCCATATGGTGATGATGGTTACAGCGTTGATATTCTTCATAGAGGTGTTACATCTACAAAAAACAAGCGGGCAAAATGTACAATGAGAGAATTTTTCGCTTTTAGAATTCAAGACAGGGATCATTCGTTCTCACTAATTTTAAATTCAAAAAGGTTATTTCAACAATTTTTGGTGGATGCGTATACTATGATTGAAAGTGAGAGATTGTATTATATACGCAGGCAACAACATGTTCTAAGATGTGATTCTTATGAGAATTTACGTAACCAAAAAGCTCAAGGAAATACAAATATCTCCAACATCGGCCAACGTGTCATATTACCTTCATCCTTTACTGGTGGTGCGCGCTATATGCTGCAAAACTATTTGGATGCCATGTCGCTTTGTAAATGGTTTGGATATCCTGATTTATTCATAACCTTTACGTGTAATCCCAAATGGCCTGAGGTTAAAAGGTTTCTTAAGGATACTTCACTTCAACCAGAAGATAGACCTGATATACTATGTAGGATGTTCAAGATCAAGCTTGATGCATTTATTAAAGACCTAAGGGAGAATCACATTTTCGGCATTATTCAAGCAGGTAATTGAATTATCTTTTATTCATAATCCATAAAAGTTTAAGTTTTTTTTAATATTTTTTCTTACGGTCTATTACAATTTTATTTTGTTCAAAATGTTTTGCAGTTGTTTATACAATAGAATTTCAAAAAAGAGGTTTGCCGCATAGTCATATATGTCTATTTATGCATTCTGAATACAAGTTACCGACTGTTGAATTTATCGACCCAATGATTTCCGCCGAGATACCAAACAGAGATGAAGATCCAGAATTGTATTCACTTGTGAATGAGTTCATGATTCATGGTCCATGTGGAGCTGAGAATATCAATTGCCCATGCATGGTGGACGGAAAATGCTCTAAAAACTTTCCAAAGCAATTCTGTAACCATACGTCTGTTGATCAAAATGGTTTTCCCTTATATAGGAGAAGAAACGATGGTCATTTTGTTGAAAAATCGGGTGTGCATTTGGATAATAGAAATGTTGTTCCATACAACAAGTATCTATTGAGAAGATATCAAGCACATATTAATGTTGAATGGTGCAATCAGGGGTCTTCTATAAAATATTTATTTAAATACATAAACAAGGGACCTGATAGAGCTACAGTTGTCGTTGAACAAAGCAATAATGAATGTGATAATAATGATACGGTCGATGAAATCAATGAGTATTACGACTGTAGATATCTATCTGCCTGTGAAGCATCATGGTGAATTTTTAAATATGATGTTCATTACAGGTATCCTTCTGTGGTTAGACTGCCTTTTCATCTGTCTGGTCAACAACAAATTGTTTATGGGGAAGACGATGATATTGACGATGTTCTCGACAAAACTTCTGTTGCTTCTTCAATGTTCACAGCTTGGATGGAGTGTAATGCAGTTAACAGTGATGCACGGAAACTTACGTATGTTGAATTCCCTACAAAGTTTGTTTGGCAACGCGGTGATAGGATTTGGAAGCCACGGGAAGTAGGAAAGTGCATTGGTAGAATTCATTCGGTTTCACCTAATCTAGGGGAAGCCTATTTCTTAAGAATTTTGTTAAATAAGGTCAAAGGTCCGAAATCATTTGAAGAAATCCGCACAGTAAATGGTGAACTATATTCTTCTTTTAGGGATGCTTGTTATGCTCTTGGGCTCTTGGATGATGACAAGGAATACATCGATGCAATCAAAGAAGCAAGTCATTATGGATCTGGTTTTTACCTACGATTTTTATTTGCTACATTATTGATGTGTAACAGTATGTCTAAACCGGAGGTTGTTTGGGAAAACACATGGGAATATTTAGCAGATGGAATTCTTTATAACCAACGACAGAGATTCAAATCTCCAGGTATTAAAGTTTTATTATTATTACTATTTATTTAAAAACTCAATTATTTATTTTTAAACATACATTAACTATTATTTTAATTATAAATAAAAATTGTTAATCATAATTCTAATTAATTTGCTCTTTATCCTCCAGACTTATCACTCAATGAAGATCAACTTAAGAACTTAACTTTGTTCGAGATAGAACAAGTTTTACTAAGGAACAATTCCACTCTCAAAAATTATAAAAACATGCCTATCCCAGATGTAGATTCTGTTTCTTCTTCAAACAATCGACTTATCACTGAGGAGCTAGATTATGACATTCCTGTTATGAAGGCTGAGTTTGATCGTATGTTTCTTGCATTGACAAATGAGCAGCGTCACATTTTCCTTGATATCATGGGTGCAGTTAAAGAAAATAAAGGAGGTGTCTTCTTTGTTTATGGTTATGGTGGGACTGGTAAAACTTTTTTATGGAAGACAATATCTGCAGCTATTAGATGTGATGGTCATATTGTTTTAAATGTTGCTTCAAGTGGGATTGCTTCATTATTATTGCCTGGAGGTAGAACAGCACACTCTCGATTTATAATTCCATTTGAACTAACAGAGGATTCTGTTTGTAAAATAAGTCGAGATGGTGACCTCGCTAGGTTATTGAGAAAAACCTCTTTGATAATTTGGGATGAAGCTCCTATGGTCCATAAGCATGCATTTGAAGCTTTAGATCGAAGTTTGAAAGATGTATTTAGGTCTGAAAATTCTAGCAACTCAGATATTCCTTTTGGAGGGAAAGTTATTGTTTTTGGAGGAGATTTCAGACAGATTCTACCTGTTATTCCTGGTGGAAGTAGACAAAACATTGTTAATGCTTCTTTAAGTTCTTCATATTTATGGGAACATTGCAAGATCCATAAATTAACAAAAAACATGAGGCTAACTGTTGGAAGGGATCAATCTGATATAGAAAAAATCAAAGATTTTGCAGAATGGTTGTTGGATATAGGAGAAGGCAAACTTGGTGGTATCAACGATGGTGAAACAGTTATTGATATTCCAGATGATATTCTCATTGATGATCCACATGATCCTATAGGTTCATTAATCGACTTTGTATATCCTTCAATTTTGGAAAACTACAACAATACAAGTTATTTTCAAGAAAGAGCAATACTTGCTCCAAAGAATGAAGTCGTTCAGGAAATAAACGATCGTTTGTTATCGAAGTTTCCAGGAGATGAGGTTGAATACTTAAGTTCAGATAGTATATGCCAATCTGAATTTGTCCATGATCAGTTTGATGCAAATTTATATTCACCTGATGTTTTAAATGGTCTAAAGGTATCAGGTTTACCAAACCATAAGTTAGTTTTAAAAATCGGTGTTCCAGTTATGTTGCTGAGAAATATTGATCAGAAAAATGGCTTATGCAATGGGACAAGACTCCAGGTTATATCATTGGGCAAACGTGTTATTGAGGCGCGTATCATATCTGGAACTAATATTGGAAACCGTACTTTTATTCCAAGAATGTCTTTAACTCCATCAGAAAAGAAGATTCCCTTCAAATTCCGAAGAAGACAGTTTCCATTGGCTGTATGTTTTGCAATGACCATTAATAAGAGTCAGGGACAATCATTATCGAAGGTTGGTTTGTTTCTCAAACATCCAGTGTTTTCACATGGGCAATTGTATGTTGCCTTATCTAGAGTTCAAAGCAGAGATTGATTAAAATTATTAATTTTAGATAAGGACGGTACCCTCACAAATCAAACTTCCAATGTTGTTTATAAAGAAGTTTTCCAGAATTTATAAACAGTGTTTTTGTACCATATTTTATTTACTTGTAAAAAATAATATTTCATCCATCATATTAAACAAACAATTTAAAACACTTTATTGCATTTCATTTATTCATGTAAATTACAATATCACTATTCTTCATTTTTTGTAAACTTTGATATATTTTTTATTACACAAACAAAATAAAAATTATAATTCTATTCAATTTATCAACCGTGGATTTCCATGGGTATTAACCAAGTTAATCTATATAGCATGGAATGGAATGGAATGGAAGGTAGGCAAGTGATGTCATATTGTATTGACCAAATTATTAGCATCAAACACGTACTCACCCACAGCTTCAATCATCATTCTCATTTTCCCAATTCCATTTTGGATATTCATTTTTCTTTCAAACCCTCACCCACCTCCTCCGCCCTTCCGCCACCAATCTCCGCCCTCGTCCCTCTGGACGCCAACGCCAAAATCCATTTATCCGTCACTTACTCATAATCCAGCTCCTTTACCTGTAACCAATCCCTCAAAAAAAATTCCCAATTCCCAACCAATTCCTATGCTAGGGTTTTAAAAGAACAAAAAATGCTTGTCAATAATTTCGATCACGGGATCTCCTCGGGCTCTAAGTCGATAAACGAGTCGGTGAATGGGTCTCATGATTTCACAATTAGAGGCTACTCCCTCGCTAAAGGGATGGGTGCCGGTAAATACATATCCAGCGATACCTTCACCGTAGGTGGATACGATTGGGCGATTTACTTTTATCCAGATGGAAAGAATTTGGAGGATAATTCCATGTACGTTTCGGTGTTCATAGCTTTGGCGAGCGATGGTACGGATGTTAGGGCGTTGTTTGAGCTTACTTTGTTGGATCAGAGTGGGAAAGGTAAACACAAAGTTCATAGCCACTTTGATCGGGCGTTGGAGAGTGGGCCTTATACTTTGAAGTACCGAGGAAGCATGTGGTATGTATAGATATAAATCCTTGTTTTTTATGAATTATATACTAACCTAGTTTTTCAATTGGATGAACTATGAATATACTCAAATACTTTTCATTAGATATGCTGAATTGAATTGTTCATAAGTTCAATCAACATGGGTCTGTATCATGTATGTGTTTAGAAGCATAGAATTGGGCATAAAAGATTTTAAAATCATAACTAATAGTTATAGTTTCTACTCCCTATGCTTTTGAGATCCAAGAACACTGGTTTTGTTGTTCTACTTACTTATGTCTTATCTTCACACAAACAAGCTTCTGAAGAATGAATTGGAAATTGGTTTTCAGGGGTTACAAGCGTTTCTTTAGAAGGGTAAGTCTGGAAACATCAGATTACCTAAAAGACGATTGCCTTTCAATGCATTGCACAGTTGGAGTTGTGAGAAACCGAGTTGAGGGACCCAAACATTTCACCATTTCCATTCCACCATCTGACATGGGCCAAAATCTCAAATTCTTATTAGAATCCGAAACCGGATGTGACATCATTTTTCGTATTGGTCAAGAAACTTTCAAGGCCCACAAACTAATCCTTGCAGCCCGTTCCCCAGTCTTCAGAGCCCAATTCTTCGGTCTCGTTGGAAACCCTAATATGGATCAAGTAGAGTTAAAAGACATCGAACCCTCAATTTTCAAGGTATTTACACTTTTGCCACTCGACCATTTTTTCCTTTTTTTGGATTAAGAATCAAGGGTTGCTGAAAGAAAGTTTAAATAAATTTTTGTGTCAGGCTATGCTTGTGTTTATATACTCGGATACGTTTCCGGAAGCAGAAGAAAGCACAACGACAGGGTCAATGTCGTCAATTTACACGGCATCAACAAACATGATCCAACATCTGTTAGCTGCTGCTGATAGATTTGGATTGGATCGGTTAAAACAGTTATGTGAAGCAAAATTATGTGAAGAAGTCAACACTGAAACAGTGGCAACAACTCTTTCACTTGCTGATCAACATCGATGTGCTCAATTGAAAGCCATCTGTCTCAAATTTGCTGCAGCAAATTTAGGAGGTGCGTGTTGATCTGACCGGTGTCATTGTTCAGGTTATATCAATTAATAAAATAGATAAATAAATAAGTAAATAAAAGTATTCATATAAAATGATGTTTTTTTTTTTTTTTTTTTTGGTTTTTGTAGTGGTGATGAGAACGGAAGGGTTTAAATATGTAGAAGAGACGTGCCCTTCGTTGCTATCGGAGCTTCTGGAAACAGTGGCGGCGGCGGCGGTGGAGGAGAGGTCTGGCGGTGAGGGGTTGAGTAGGAAGAGGAGTGGCGGCGGGAGTAGCATTATTGGGTTGGATTTGACGTCGGCGGCGCAGATTGTGGCGGCGGCAGCAGCGGCGGCGGAGTCGGGGGATGCTAATGTCAGGCGTATGCGTAGACGGTTGTAATGTTTGCTTTTTAGTTTTTGTTGTTATTTTTGTTTTGCAATTATGATGAAAATGTGAATTTGAGGTTTCTTGAGTTTTATCTGCTAAAAATTGGTTTAAGTGTTGAGTAACATGTGTTTATAATTAGACTCCATTGCATTTAGTTATTGTTTTTTTTGTTTGTTTGTTTGTGAAGTTGGGCTCTTTTTGGGTTGTTTGGATGAAGACAGTGTTGAGTTGTGAAATCTGATTGCTTCTGTGTGACTTGAGAGCATCGGGTCTTGGGCTTCGGGCAACATGCGGTTTTAGAGTTGAAATTGAATACATTGTGGTTTTAGGGTTCAAATGAAATCTTGATGTAATTGTAAAACCTCATTATGGAATTAATAAACGCCTTCTCTACTTGATGAAAACGTGAATTATGCAAGTTTTTGCCATCTTATTTTTGTTTAGAGTTTCTTTGCTGCAAGTAGGGAAACTTGTTTGGATTTGCCTTGGTAACCAAGGCTCTTGAACAAATTTAACGGTGGGAAAAAAAAAACTTACAAACAAGATTGATCCAAGTAACGTGCGTTGATTATATCATAAGGGACAAAATTTGAAAATTTCGTTCATTGTTATGGTAGAAATTGGTTGTTGGAAAAATCAAAATAGGGACTCTTTAAAACATGTGCGCAATATAACAACCACATAAACAAAATAGATGATGTCAAATTGAAAAACTGTCATTTCCAGCTCTATACCCACATAATGACATTCAGAACTGACATAAGTGAAAAACATATCAATGACAAAGTACATGTAACAAGAGCATTATCCACTGCCATTTTAACTTTTAAGGAATTCTTAGTGAATCCAAACATCTCCCCTCAATCCCTCATAGTGTGGAGAAAAAAGTGTGGAAGTGATTATGTAAATGAAAATGAAATATACTTCAAACAGGGCCTGATATCCTTAAGAGTAGGGTTATATATGTCGTATTCCAAAACACTTCTATGTCACGTCTCACTTTTTTTTTTTGGAACGATATTAAATCCGTCCAGAAGGTTAACAATAAGTTCCCAGTATAATGGTCGTTTTTCAAAATTACATTATCATGATTTAACTATATTATTAGTTTTCAAATAAATTTGGCAGTCAAATATTTAATGCAGAAGTTAGGTTAGATGTTTGACTCTTATACGCCCAGCCCACAATATCAATAATGTCTCCATGCAATCTGCAATGTCGTCGTAATTGACTTTGTCTTCAAAAAAGTCAAATGAATGACGAATATTATACTCCATAAACATCATGATTTAACAATCGTCATCCTCACTAGGATGTAGATATTTAGAAAAAAAAAAAAAAACACGTTAGCAATTTATGTAGTTTATGAGGAATGGGATTTGAATGGAGAAGTAAGAGTGTGAATTTTTTTTTATATATTTACATAGAATAGAATTAGAGTTTGAGTTGAGAAATAAAAATCAAGAAGAAAGGGATGCCAACAACCAAAGAACAGTGTGAGAAGAAATAGCAAGAAGAAACCAAGCAAGAAACGCAAAAGCAATGGAGATCTGGAACATACTGCACGACAGCTGCTGGTCAACTTTGCAATACTCCGAGTCTCTGTCCAACAAAACCATCACTCCAGCTGAAGATGATGACGCTGCAAGTGCTAGTATCGCAGTCACCTGAATAATAATAAAACACAAAATATTACGTTTTTCAATTTTGGCCATTAATTAAGCTTTTTGTAACATTTTCGTCCCTGTTCCAAGTAAAGTAACTATATGTTTGGGACCAAAATCGAAAAAATCAGCTATGCATGGAACACAGACCAACAACATTACAAGAACCTCCAAATGAGTACCAAAATTGCAAATCGGCTTATACCGAGGGACCAAAAATGTAACTTATTCCTATTATAAATCTTGGAAAGTAAGTAAAATGACATACGTACCCAGTCACCAACAATAACAAGGCTTAGTAAGATTTGACTCTGGAGATTTTTTTTAACCCTTAGAGCATGAATATCAAGACAAGCAAGTCCAAAGCTCCATAAAACTTGTAGTCCCATTGCTGCAATTAGATAGCTGAACATTTCAAGCATAACACACCACAAATTAGAATCAATGAACGCAAACAATAAAATTGTTCTCACCAACAAAAAATCTTAAAAGAACCTTGAAACTTCTCAAGGATTTAAGCAACTTGTGACCTTCATCAGCCTTAAAACATAAGTGATCAATTGTTTACAATGAATCAAATCTACAGAGCATGTTTATAGATATAAAATTGTTCTCACCAACAAAAAATCTTATAGCCAAAAAACTAAGGCATAGTTGTTTTCGTTTTTTTGGTACTGTATTGAATCCAGAAATTTACCCCACATCTTATAAATAATTTAGAAATTTTCATTTCTAGTATCTCAACAGATGGGGTACATTCAAGCTTTTCATGTAATTCGTACTTATATCCGTTTTGAATCATATGATGAGATGACCTAAATTGTTACAAGGAGGTTAGATGAAACTTGAAGAATTCCTTGAGACAACATAATCCTTGTAATTAAATTTGACCTCGTATGGAAACATGATAGATTTTAGAAATTACGAAACAATATATGTAATCGAAGCCAAATTATAAACAAAACAGTTAAAGGAAATGAGAATAGAAGTAACAGCATCAAACTGTAGAAATACAGATATTCATGGCAAGCATACGCCATTTCAGAGCAGTAACTGTGTGTGTGTGTGTGAGAGAGAGAGAGAGAGAGGGAGGGACCAGAAGGAGGTGGCGCTAGAGAAACCGGAAGAAGCAGCCATGACGGCGATAGAAGCAGAAGCAAATAAGCACTGAAAAATCCTCAAGACAAGGCCGCTTGCGATCCCTGGAGTACCAAAGCATCGCTTCATGTCTCTGTCTCACTGATTTTGTTTGTGGTATTTGATAGGAAGAAATCCTGTTACATGTGGTGATGGTGATTGTTGGATGGAGATGAAGATTTATGGTAGAAATTAGGTTTTTGAGATGAAAATGAAAGCGGGATGATGGATCCCTAATCTGACGCCAAATTCGCAGAGAATAAGCACAATACCTGTTGCCCTTTTTTCGGTGATGGAACTTGAAAGTTGAAAGTGAAGCAGCAAACCAATTTTTTAAAAATTTCACAACTTTCTTTGGATTTTCGCAAAACTAACAACTTTCTTTGGTGGTGCCCCATTTCCATAACCTTTTTTCTGTTAACTCTAAGACACCTTTGCCAAACTTGCTAAAAATATAAAATAGTAAAAAAATAGTAACAATATTTATGATTAGTTTATTATAATTATAAATCTTTTTAATATATTTAACTTTAAACATTAAAAAAAATCTTCAATTGTAATGAAAATTCTGAACTTTTTGTTTGGAATTTGGTTATTTTAGTTACAATATTGACAACTTCAGTAAATAATAGCTACAAAGTTTATTAGTATATATTTCATCTAAGTCATCCAAACTTCTCATAAAAAGAATTTAACCAGTCAGCCGTTTTTTTTTTTTTTTTTTTTTTTGCTCAATATTATGAAAATTTTGAATTTTTTAAAAAGTTTTTACCACTAAAACATTTGGTTACCATCACATCTTTACAAGGGTTTGTTTTAGTGGAATTGTTTTCATAATATATATCATTATGCTCATGGATTTTAGTAATATTACATGTATATTGTAGTAATGTTGATAAGAGATATTGATTTTGTTTGTAATGACTCACATGTTTACAAGGGTTTGTTTTAGTGGAATTGTTTTCATAATATATATCATTATGCTCATGGATTTTAGTAATATTACATGTGTATTGTAGTAATGTTGATAGAGATATTGATTTTGTTTGTAATGATTATTGATTTATTGATGTAAATATTTTTTTTGTGTCATATAAAAGTTAATATCTAGATCAAGCTGTGAACATGATAACATGTGGTGGATCTATTAATTTATAATCAATGTATAAAGTCATATAGATTACAAAAACACGTGTATCAAAATAAAAGCTTCTAAAATTCAATTGTATACGCAACCGATAGTTTGAATGGTTCTCTTAAAATGTTCCAAAATTTCAGGGTTTTTTTTTTTTTTTTTTTTTTTTTCACTGAATTGATTCAACATTGTAATCCAAATAATCATTTCTGATAAGAAAGTTTAAAATTTTCATATCACTATAAGAGTAGAAGTGTACATCTGTAATTTATAAAATCACATATAGGATAGTTCTTGACGCTTGTGATGAGTACTTAAGATGTCTACAAGAACCTTGCGTGAAAGTCTAGATCTGTTTTGTGAGTGTGTAATTGAGATGTATAGATGAGGATATTTGTGTAAACCGACCGAGAGCGACATATAAATTTTGTATGCGACACATGCATCTATACATATATTTTCTAGAATGTTAGGAAGCATTGATTGTATACATTGGGTTTGGAGGAATATTCCAACAACATGGGGAATCATGAATACCTTAGGATTATATTTGAACCACACAAGAATTATGGTTTGGGCATGCATTCTTTGGTTTTACCGATTCCAACAACCAGATAAGGTTACCATTATTCGATAATGTATAAAATGGAACTGCGCCTAATTGTCAGTTTTATATTATCTTGTCGACGTGATATACCCGAATAAGGTTACCTTTATGAAACATTTGTCTATCTAAACTATGATAAATGAAAATGTTTTATATAAAAGTTATAGGTGTGTATGTGTATCAAAAGTTTATACAAAAGCTATACATGTAAAAACTAAAAATCCGTGAAATGTCTTCTATGTGATTTAGAACACATTGTACTCCAAAGGTGGGTACTCTAGATATAGTTAAGCATATTATGGTTTGAGCTTTATGGAAAAATGTTAGCACAAACTTATGTATGAATGTATGTAGAAGTTTTATAGAAAACTAGGTGTGAAAATGATATAAAATGCCTTTGTGATGATTGAGGATATGGGGTACTCGTGGGTGAGTAATAGGAAATAGATTATGAATATTTATGATAGGTCATGGTTACAAGTCCCTAAGGTTGGAACTTAGTAATAGGTCCTAGAATGGGGACATAGTTACTAAGGATATGTGTTACCCCAACGGGAGGGGTGGCGGGCAACAAGTCACAATTTCGAGACATGTGACATCTCTCATTTTCAAAACCAGTTAAAACATTTTTTTTACGTTTTAAAAATATTGAGTTTTTTTGTTGCGAAAAATCTCAGTTTAATAAAACATTTTGAGATCAAACATTGTTTCGTAATATTAAAATATCAAGGATGTCATAATTAATATCCTGAAAACTATTACATACTCATCTCTTATTTCACTCAACATTCTAATTAAGTTCCAGCAACTTTAGTCCCGCAACCTGTAATGCATATAAATTGAGTGGGTCAGTTTTGGAAAAACTTGGTGAGATACATAAGGTTTTTAAGCACATAATGACTTAATGATATTAAATTATATTAATAATCATGCAAAACAAACATTTTCAAACAATATAAATATGTAAATCCGGCGTAGATATATATCTATAAGACACTTTACCCATACATACCCTGTCCAACTGATTCTCACAAATCCTAGTTCAATGATAATCTGGAAGAATCATCTAACCTGATAAATCGTTTGAGCAACTGTTTGACTACACAATTATGGAAGTCATTGGCCAGTGTAAGTCATTTAAAGACAATTAATATTCGAAGTATTTGATAAATATGATATATCATTTTATCTATGTTTGTGGGTTATAAATCCACACTAGCAATGTAATTCACAAGACCATCTAGAATAATCACGTAATGTCATCTTACTTTGGTTGTCCAAATCAGACACACCATTTCTTGTTGTCTAACAAGAAGAGGATTACTACGCTCCGCGTTAATTCACACATTACCCAACTATGAGACTATTTCGTTATTTAACCAACTTCAAACTAATTCATCATTTATAAATCTTTATTTTTAATTAAACAACGCTATAATAAAAGAACTCTACTTTAAATAAAGTTTTCTAATCATATGATATTATTATAATTCAATATATAAAATCAACACAAATTATAGATAGTAAACGACTAATTTTGAGAAATACTTTTATTATAACTATGTTGTTGAAAGTAACTACACATTCATTTGGTTAAAGGTAAAAGAGTTCCATATGATTCAGCGCTTCGCTTAATACTTTCGGTTTTCCTTTTAAATAACCTAAATATAAATACCATAGTTGTTAAAATCGTGATCCTGATCGTAGGATCATAGGATCCTACGATCTTAGGTATGAAAAACGATACGGGTTGTAAAATGATCATATTTGGGGTAGGATCGCAGGTAGGATCGTAGGATCGAGATCCGATCCTACCTTCCTTTGATTTTTTTTTTTTTTTTTTTTTTTTTTGTTTTTTGTTTTTTTTACCATTTTATGTCTTTTACCCTTTATCAATCTACCATTTATCATTTTTTTGTCACTTATCACTAATGTTTTGAAGTTTTTATAACTTTTGAATGAAAAATTAAATGTTTGAAATATTTTTCATGATTAAATATTATAAATTAAAATTATATTGTATTTTGTGGGATCTTAGGATCTTGATCCCGATCTTGCAAACCCAAAAACGATCATAGGTAGGATCCCGATCTTGAAAACCTTGATAAATATTACTCAGTTTTAGTATATGTTTATATTTTGAGACTATAATAAGAGTATTTCAGATTTATCAATAATCACAAATGGATACTGCTTTATAGCTAATAAGGAATAACCAGATAAGATTATATCGAAACTAAGATCTATTTGCTATACATAGTATATTGTTTGGAAAAATCCATTTTAAACACATTACTAAGTCTAGCCTAGACTCATGTACGTAGATCAATTAGTAATATGATTTGGAATCATTGATAAATCTTATTTATATGTTCATAATAACAACTACGATATAAATATAAGTTACACTTAAAGCATATAATGCAGCTTAACTTACAGAGTTTTCTAGTGAGAAACTGGTAACTACGTGGGCAGAACTCCGAAATTGAAAGCTCTATTTCTCCAGGCTCTCTAATGCTCTACAACTTTTATAATAACACTTGAAAATTACTAAAATTAGGTCTTGAGAAGTTGGGAGCACATGGAAGTGTTTTGGAGGAAAAGTGTGAGAAATGAAGTGAAATTCAGCCGCTATATATAGGCTCTAAATGAGGACGCACCACTTCGTGGTTAGAGGCGCACCGTGCCGTAACGTGTTGGATCCTCTCATTTGTTGACACGTGTCATCACTTTATTAGGTCACGTTGCTTGGTATGCTGAAGGAGATGCTCGTCCGACAAGGCTACGTGGCACCCACCGGGTGGTGCCACGTCATCACCTTTGTAGGTAAATTCTCAATCTTCTAAAACTCATAACTTTCGCATACAAGCTTTGTTTTCGACATTCTTTATATCCACTCGTAGGTATTTCCAAGTACCACAACAATTCTTTAGATCTCAAACAGTTAATTCTTATTCTATTTTAAATTCATATTTTTATAGAGATTACGTTGTTAGAATCCGTTCGAAAATCATAACTCCTTCATATGAAATCCGTTCTCGACTGTCCCTATATTGACAAATTCGTATTTATGAGATCTTCAAGTCTCAGTTACATTGTTTGGCTAACAATCAGCCGATTTTAATTTTGATTTTTGTGTGGCACACTACTGTATTTTATCGCACCGAAACTTCGAAAAATCATAACTTCTGCATACGGAGTCAGATTTAGACGTTCTTTATTTACACAAATATTATATACACATAATATTTGTCCAAT